CGGGTGGACATAACAAAGGCATACGTAGAGATAATTACCATCAAGTTTTAACAAAGTGTGAAACAAAAAAAATTCATTGTACGGGGCCTAAAAGACGTCGGGTAAATGATTCTGATAGTCTTCCTTATGGTTATAAACGCTTCAAAAACCATTAAAAATAATTTATCAACCATAAAAATGTTTTAAAAACTAGAATGAATAAAAAAAAAAAATTTGTGTGAAGTACGATATTTTTTGTGTGAAGTACAATGTTTTTTGTGTGAAGTACAATGTTTTTTTTGTGTGAAGTAGGATTCTTGTAGATGAAAATGAATGTAAAAAACTTTGTAAAAAATTTATGTAAAATAAAAAAAGTATGTAAAAACTTTGAAAATTAAAAAAAAATAAATTTCTAATAACAAAGTATACAATTATTGTTATATAAAACTTCCCGTATTATTAATTTTATTTTAGTTATCACTATGGATCCAAGGTGGATACATCCGTTTACTGCTATCATTTCTGGCCCTAATGGTTGTGGAAAAACTTTTTTTGTTAAGCGATTCTTAAACGAAATCCGTGAAATTTGCGATACAGAATTTAAGAAAGTAATTTTTTATTACGCAGAGTGGCAACAGGGATATGCACAGTACGATAAGTCATTCGTAGAGTTTAGAGAAGGTTTACCTCAATCCGGTGATTTTGACGATAATTTTGAGAAATTAGTTGTAGTTGATGATTTAATGAGAGAGTCATCAAATGGGTCAGTTGTAGATCTATTTACAAAAGGTAGCCATCATAAAAATTTGAGTGTCATGTTTTTGTCTTAAAATTTATTTCACCAAGGAAAAAGTCAACGAGATATATCTCTAAACACAAATTATTTTGTAGCATTTAAAAATCCTCGTGACAGGGCACAGATCTTTCACTTGGCTCGACAGGTATATCCAGAAAACCCCAAGTTTTTACAAGAGGCTTATTTTGATGCTACGTCGAAGCCACACGGTTACCTGCTTCTTGACCTCAAACAATCGACACCGGAAAATTGTCGATTTAGAACGTGTATTTTTCCAACTGATGCGTATCATTATGTTTATGTTCCACGAAAAGGTAATGATAGAAAAAGAGGTAGCAATCACAATGATGTACCAGTTATCCGTTTGTAATGGCAGGAGAAGGATCTATTCGCCGTTCTTCTGCACGCAAATCAATTGGATGTAAAAACGCAGCTTTGCTTCAGGCTCTCGTGTATGCTTCACCAGATCAGCGTCGTGCTATACTGCGTCATGCTAAAAAAGATTTTATTCGTGCCATCTGTGAATGTTGCTTAAATATTTTGCATGGAAATATACCAATAAAAGATTCAGAAAAGAAATTACTATCTAAGTATAAAAAAATTTTACGAAAACTATCAGAAAAAAATAATAATTGGGCAGCAAAGAAAAAAATTATTAGTCAATTAGGCGCATTTTTACCTATGCTTTTGGGTCCTATAATTGGTGCATTATTATCGAATATATTTTAGAGCATGGAGTATGCACGGAAAATGGTACTTATTCCTTATGAGGATATTGATAAAATGAAATCTGGACCAAAAAATTTTGAACAAGTGTTAACTTCTCTCGCTAATAATTATTTACCAACGTCTCAAACTCCAGGGGATCCACAGTCTCGTCTTGATGCGGCATTAGCTAGAATTTTAAACGAGACTTCGTTAGATATTGATGCTAATGATAAACAATATTCTGAATTAAAGCAAAACAATATTCTGAATTATTAAGACGTTATTTGTTCTTCAAGAATAAACACCACGAGGGTAATTCTACTGTTGAAAAAAAAATTGAAAATACTGAAGTTAGTCCTGAGATTACTGATTTTTCTGATATTAATGAAAATCAAGAAATTAGTAGTATTGTGATAAATAATAGTAATATTGAACAAAATAAATCGTATAAAGCTTCTGATATAGTAAATGGTGTTCCAAAAACATATCAAACCGCAGCGGAAAATATTCTGCGTCATATTGAGTCTGTAGACAGTAGTAAACGATTAAAGTGGGATGATAAAGGAAGTGTTACTTTGGATGACCGTAAAATACCAGGTGCTAATATAGTAGACCTCATAAATGATGCTGTACGTCATAGAAAAACTGTAAAGGCTACAGGTAGAGATTTTTTTGCTGCATTCTTACCAGGTATCAACACTCCACGAGAATTTGTAGGGAACAGTAGCTTTTGGAATAAAAGTTTTCAAAGTATAAAAAACTTACCAATTAATACCTCTACTCCTAAGCGTTACATGAGAAGTAATGATTCATCAGGAAATTCACAAAATTATCTATCCTTAACAAACTCTACTCTCCAAAACGGTGGCAATAAAAAACAATTGTATAAAAATTCATTTAAATGACTACGAATGTAGAAGAAATTCTTGATAAAGAGTATTATGATCCTTCGAACCCTGTATCATATTCTGGAGCTCGTAATATAGTGGAAAAATTAAAAAAAAATATATTTGAAGAAAAAATTAATGACTGGTTAGCGGCCCAAGATGCTTATACGAGACATAGGTCTACAAGACGTAAATTTCCACGGTTACATTATAATGTGACAAATATAGATGATGTATGGGAAGCAGATCTTGTGGATTTAAATTCATTGAAAACATACAATGATGGTGTTGTATTTCTCTTAGTAGTAATAGATATCTTGAGTAAATATGCATGGGTAGAACCTTTATCTGACAAATCAGCAAAGACAGTGCTTCAAGGATTTAAGAATATTTTCAAACGTAGTGAAGGGCATTCACCTATAATACTACAAACAGATAAGGGAAAAGAATTCATAAATACTAGTGTTCAAGAATATTTAAAATCCAAAGATATACTTTAGGACAGCCCGCAATCCAGATGTCAAAGCTAGTATTGTAGAGAGATTAAATAGAACATTAAAAGAACGTATGTGGCGCTATTTTACCCATCGAAAAACCTATAGATATATTGACATTTTACAACAATTAGTTGATGCATAGAATCACACAAAACATAGTTCGATAAGAATGGAACCTGCAGCAGTAACCATAGATAACGCAAGAGAGGCGTGGCATAATATTCAGAAACGGTTTCCGAAAATCAAATCTCGAAATAAAGTATTTAAATACAAAGTGAATGACTATGTACGGATCAGTAAATATAAATCAACGTTCGAGAAAGGATATGAGGCAGGGTATACTGAAGAAATTTTTCAAATTACGAAAACTGAACTTCGTCAGAATATTCCTACTTATGAATTAAAAGACTTGGCTGGTGAGGATATTAATGGTTTTTTCTATGAACAAGAAATAGTGCGTGTTTCTAAGGATCTAGAAAAAGAAGAATTTTTAATTGAAAAAATATTGAAAACAAAAGGAAAAGGGAAAAATAAGCAGTATCTTATAAAGTGGCAAGGATATCCTGATAAATTTAACTTGTGGGTGCTAGCATCAACAATATCAGAATGAATAAGAGAGAGTTTCATATGGTTTTACCAAGTGACAGTAGTATGAATTACTTCTCGGACAATATAGCTACTCATTATGCAACTATGTTACCTGAACATATTACATAAGAAGGGGAATGGGTCGTTGGACTAAAAAAAATACAGTTTCCAAAAAGTTTTCTTCATATTCAATCGGTAGAAGACAGTAAAATGTGTCTATTGACTGCAGGAGCAGGAAAATTTGATATACCTATGGATTATTACTTTCCACGAGGGCTCTAAAGAAATCGAAATGGATTTATATCTACTTTGAATTCTTTTCTCCCAACTGTCGAACATTTTTCTTTCAAAATAGATGCATCAGGATTTACTAAAGTAAAACGAAAATGTACACCATCGTTTTGTAAAACTACCAGTCATCGTTTTTTACTATCGGATACTATGTTAGATATATTAGGTTTTGATCGTTATATTGATGAAAATAAGAAGAAAAAATTTGTACTTGGTGATAGAGATGGAAAGAGCTACGAATTTACAAATATAAGTAAAAGACCTTTTAGTCTGATAAGAGGTTTGATTAGTAGTCTTTTTGTTTATTCTGATATTTGTTCACCGTATGTAACCGGAGATGTAAACACTCCCTTGTTACGCATAGTTCCTTTGGATATGAGCTCATACTCTTATGCTATGACAGTTACCAATACTTATGGTTCACCTAATTATATTCCTGTTGTATCGAATTCATTCCGCACAATTGAAATAGATATAAGAGATAACATTGGAAACCCAGTGCTATTTGAGTACGGACCGTTGAATGTTACACTACATTTCAAAAG